TGACGGTAGACTATTGATATACAACCGATACATGACCTAATGTTAAAATATCAGCCTTTCTAAAACTGTTGCAGTTTTGGTCCCTCAGCTCTCGGACTAACATCCCTGCTCGTCACTGTGGCGCGCCGGGCGCACGACTTCAGCTCACGGCGATTTCAGGTTAGGTTGTAACCGGACGGTTACAACCTAACCTGAAATCGCCTACTGGAGGCACGAATCAACGCTACGTGTCCTTAGAAATCAACGGTCGCCACTCGGTTTGACCTTTGAACCACCGAGAAGGTAAGTATCGAACGATCTCTCTAATTACTAATCAGACTAATTAATCTTCTTTTTTCAGGTTCCCGCCACCGCTGGATCATCGCCGTCGCCGATCAGGATCGTCGCTGCCACCGGAATCCAGGATCAACGAGGGACTTCGAGTGATCGACGCCAATGGATCAGGTAAATAGAAGGTAAGTCCAATTGAATAATTTTCGAAATCTTTTGCGAAAAAGATGTTTAATTTATTCAATAATATTGATTTCCAGTGATGGTTGTTCACAAAAGTTCAAGTCACACAAGATGTCGGACGCTCGTATACGTGGGCACAGACGCCCCGTTTATCTACGACGCACGAAGTTATTTCGGGCTAAAAAGACCGTTCGTCAATGTAAAGACGACAATTAACGCGTTCCGCGGGCGTTCCCGGTTGTTATGAATGTTGTCGAATTGTAATTATCGCACTCGTGTAACGTTCACGGTGACTTAGCGCGACGACGAAAGAGCGAGGCTTATTACGTGTTGCTCGTACGAACATCCCCGAGAGACTGCCTCGAGTTGTTTGTCTCGCTTGAGCTCCCCACCATCGGTATCGGTGGCCCCCACTTCGACGCCTATTCCGCTTTCTCTTTTCGCGAACTACGCATATCACCTCGGTAATTTTCCACGCAGGTGTTTACGCCGTTTGCGCCGATCCTCGTGGAAATTTCCATATGCGTTGCGCTCGCGCGGTCACTCCGTCCCGGTGACGGGGTAGCGGTTTTCCACCGCTGCTACTCTTTCGCGGCCGTTGACGCCGACCCATGCGCCGCGTCTATTACCGCGCGTACAATGACCTTCCGGACGACTTCCTCGAGGAAAACGTCCGGGTGCAGAACACCAGGTTCGCCGACGACGTCGACCCCTCCTGACCTTTGTTCGGGACCTAGTAACGCGGTTTCCGCGGTCTTTCCCCGTAGAAGAGGTCTAGGTCGTGAGATAGCGGACGGTTCCGTAGCTTTGCTCCCGGTCGTCGGATTTCAACGGCGACCGGATACGGATGTTTCTTGGGATGTCCCCGTTCGTCAGGGATGTTGTTTCCCTGAGGATGACGCACCTAGTGCGATATTCAGGACGGTCCGCTATTTCGTTCCTTGGTTGACGGATTTCGTCGGGACTCGGTTTCGCGGGCTCGGTGGAGTGCCCCTCGGTGTCAGGGATGCCTAACTTCTGTGGATGACGCACCTGGTGCGAGTTCGCGGACGGTTCGCTATTTTGCGTTTACGCTCCAGCGTCACGTCGCCAAACCCGTATGTGTCATTCAGGGACCCCGCGCCTTCGTCAGGGACGTATCATATCGCCGCAAAGCTGTCGGTTACGGAATTTCCCGACGGTCCGCCATTTTTTATACGGGTGGTCGGACTGTAATTCTAACGCGTGAACTATGTCTCGCGGGTCTTCCCCTGTGGTCAGAGGTCGTTACCTTCCGCGTCCGTCGCGCCATTTCTGAATTCGCGGACGGTCCGCCATTTTCTTCCCGCGCGACGTTTCCGCTATTTTACTGCGCGTCCTTCTCGGGGCTCGGTTAGTCGCCGAGGCTCAGCAGTCTTTACTCCGCGAACGTGGTCCGCCATTTTGCCGTACGTCGTTCGCCCGTTCTGTGGGTTGTCTCGGCTCGTCCGCCGCGTTGCGGGAAGGCATCCTGGCCGCTCGCATGGAAGCCTCCCCTTTCCTGGAAAGTGTGTTTGGGCTCAAGCCCTGTCGTGCCGCCGCACGATACCCCGTACCCGCGCCGACGGGAATAAATAAACACGCGTAAACGAACTGAAAGAGATGACCCCTCCTCGAGGGGATATTCTGGCTGAGCCGCAAATAAACGTCGAATACTGGCGCGGTATCAATCACTTAAACCTAATCAAGCGCCGGATGGGGTCGCTACTCAACATACTCTGATAAGACAAAATCAACTGAAAATAATCATAATCAAAAAGGAAAAGGAAAAGAAATTCGCTGTCGCTCGATTGTCTCCCCATCCTCGGAACGCGAGCACGCAACTTAAGATTAGTTGAGGCGTGGTTCCGCCTCGTCCGCCTCGGAGCCGCTGCTCTCCTCTGGGCTCCGGAACGACATCGTGGATCCGCAGTCCTCCTCTGCGGGTTCGCCCCCGGTTGCTTGTTCGCCCCCCGACGCTTCAGGGGCGCGCGCTTCTAGATCTGGAATATCGGGGAGCTCGGCCTCGAGCATCTCCACGATATTTTTTAACGCGCCAAGGTCGGTTGGCAGATCTAGGTCATCGGTCGGAGTCGGGCCCCGTTCCTGGACCCCTGGACTCCGGATCAGCAGCACCGCCGCCTCGCAAGCCAGTCCCGGCTCCTCTGCCGCCTCCGCGATCGGTACTGGTAGGTTGTCCGGTTCTGCGGGTCGTGCCAGCAGCCGCACCGCGCTCTCGGAGCAGCCGGCGCAACACCACCTTGGGCGCCTGTAAGCGCGCGACGCGAGGCGCGGTTGCGCACGGTCGCAAGGTTTCCCTCAAGCGTGATTCTGTCTTTCCTTGCACGTGCATCAGTTTGTATCGGAGGGAAATGGTACGCACGTATCGTTGCAAAACGGGTGTTTTGGCCGACCGAAAAGATGGCGGACCGTTGTTTTCGAGATCGCTCGCGCTCACGGCACGTCGGCGAGGTACGGCGAGGCACGGCTCTGAGATTCCGCGATTTCCGCGCGAGAGTTGATATGCCGCGCGCTTGGTAGATCGTCCCGGCCGGGTAGATCGTCGTTGTTGGTCGTTGTGTCAGTGTCAGTGTAGTGGTGGTGGTGGTCGTCGTCGTCGTCGTCGTCGTGGTGGTGGTGGTGATGATGGTGGTGGTAGTCGTGACCGTCGTCGTCGTCGTCGTCGTCGTCGTCGTCGTCGTCGGCGTCGTGGTGATGGTGGTGGTGGTGGTCGTGGCAGTCGTCATCGTCGTCGTGCGCTCGTCAGGATCTGTATTCACGTGCTTTAATTGTTTTATGGAATAAGTAAAATAATTATTCTTTAATAATGTTTCGCATAACAATTTCAAATAAATTTTTATATTTTTTTCTTCAAAAATAATTATTAAAATGTATCCTATCATTTTTCAGGATTAGATGTACGTATATGTATTAAAAATGTAGTGTGACGGTTTAACCCCGGGGGGTAGACGGTTTAGCCCCGGCATTTTTGCGATTTCAATTTTTGCACCATTGTCGTTTTTGCTCTATACCGGTTAAACAAAGCGACGTAGACAAAAATTTCCTATATAAATTTTGTAGCTAAAGGTTCACTCTTTACAGTGATATACTACATTTAACCACAATTATTTATTTTGTTGTTAAAAATTGGCACCGAAAAAAAACGGACGGTCTAAGCCCGGTCTCCCCTAATTTCAATTAATTTGCACTTCTGCAAAAAGATTCTCGAAGATTGGATAATAATAACTACTTACCCCATAATTTTGTATCATATAATAAATATTTGCATAAATATTAGTTTGAATGCGACCTTCAATCTGAGCTTGAACAGCAACTTCCTTTGAGGAACAATTTTGTACCACATTGTAAGCTTCTGTCGACCATTTACCTGCAAAGGAGTAACATCAAAGTATAATTACATATCCAAAGATAAATAATTTTGAGTAGAGATGTATAATCTAAAATAATGGTACATATAACGTCAATATATAGTTACCGTTCTTCGGCTGAATATTTGCTAAAAAGATTTCGATGGCTTGGAAGGGTAGGCTCAAATAATTATATATCAATGGTCTACATTACGAATTACTAAACTGCCAGTAACCACCGTGATCGTATAATCAGAATATCCTGATTTCTTTTTTATTCAACGTGTTAGGATTATATCACTTACTGTTCAATACATCTGGAACTGGCAGCAATTCATTGATATACCAACTAATACATCATGCTGTCTTCCAAAAATTTTGCAAAAGGAGAAATGATGAATGAATCAGAAGCTGAACGAAGAGCCAATTTGGCTTGACATTGTGAGAGATATTAATGTCATTATTAACACTCTCAACCAGAGACAGGGGTCGTTGAATCGGGACATTATACACAACTTTAATCACCTCGGTTATTGTGCGATATATATTCACGCCAAACCGAATATATGTATAACATTGTGTTATTTTTACATTTAGGGAAATTATTTCATATTAACTCAATAGGCTTTAAACTTGCATACATAAGTGAATCTCACGTTTTATGTAAAATTTTGTAAGAAACCGGTAATCTCTAACCTATACTACGTTTATGCAAGCGTTACTTAATTCTGTAGTAACTTACGAACGATACGATAATTCCTCCGAATAAACGAAAGATTTTATAGTAATTACGATGATATCGTTCGTATAAGTTACTACAGAAGTATTACTTACGTAAACGTAAACTATTATAATTGTTGTCACATGTACTTAGTCGCGTAAAAGAATCACGGTGCGGTCTTGCTTCGCGTTGAATAATAATAGGATAATTACATGTAAATAAAACAATTACCTTGAATCAGAAAAAATATTAATCGTCGCGTCGCGTAAAGAGTCACGGTCGGTATAGCTCCGCGCGCCGCGCGCGTACTACCGTGGGGGTTTTTTTCCTTGGTGTCCTCGGGTGAGGACGGTTAGGTGCCTCAGCACTACTGACAATTGGCACAAAGAATCTAAGCCTAGTAATGTACATTCGTTTGAAACTAAAACACTTAGCCCGAATACTCAGTAAACAGTCTTTCAAACTCTAATATCAAATAACTTTGCCCGTTGCCTTGATATATTTAAAAATAATATACAGCACATCCCAGTTTCTCTCTTGGATAAGTCGATAAATATCTATATTTCCTCCGTGAAGTTAACCTCTCTTAATTCGGCGTCCAAAACAGCTCTTTGTCCATCATAATTGTTACATCTCAAAATAAAATGGTGGATATCCTCGCATTCGCAACCGCATTCACATCTCTCACCATCGATATAATTCTTTCTCTTGAGGGAAGCTCTCAAATTATAATGGTTAGCTCTTAGACGATTGATGAGCGTGACAAAATATCTCTCCGCTCTAACCTTACGGAACCACGGCACGGTCGAGGAGGTTCCGCTCGAACCGTCGTACGAGTCGGACGTGTTATACCTGCGCTCGTGTTCCTCCTCTTTGATACTCGCCTTGTAGAGCATATATAGCATTGTTTTGCCGCGCTTATTTTCTCGCGTTCCCCGTCTATTCGGGAGTGTTGATTTTCTGAATAATTGCTCTCCTTTCGGAGGGGGAGCGTGTCCTTACTTTGTAAGGATAAATATCCAGAGATCGGATAAACCTCCCGAGAAAAAATATTCATATCTGACAGTATATGAACATATATAAACATATATGATATATATATATAAACATATATAAATGAGATATGAACAGATATAAGTTTTACATGCCCATATATAAAGCATATATAATCATATATGGTTATCTATCGCCATATATGATCAGATCGTACATTATACATAGCACAAGATCTGATCATATAAGTTCATATATGGTCAGACATATTATTATGTGTAGCAGATATGACACTATACATAATCGTATCTGGCCTCACATGGTCGTATATAAAGAATGTTCGGCCATGTATTATCAGATATAATTATATGTGGCCATACATAACTGTATCGGCACTGTATATGATCATATATGACAAGACACGATGCTGTATATGATTGTATATGTTCATATACGGCCGGAAATGATATGAAACATGATCAGATCTGTCTATATATGACCAAATTGGGATATAATGATATAAAATGTCCGGGAAAAATATTCATATCTGACAGTATATGAACATATATAAATGAGATATGAACAGATATAAGTTTTACATGCCCATGTATATATAGAGCATATATAATCATATACTATATGGTTATCTATATCGCCATATATGATCACATCGTACATTATACATGACACAAGATCTGATCATATATGACGATAGATAACCATATATGATTATATATGCTCTATATATGAGTATGTAAAACTTATATCTGTTCATATCTCATTTATATATGTTCATATACTGTTAGATATGAATATTTTTCCTGGACTTTTAGGCGAATAAAATGTCCGCGGAAAAAATATTTATATCTGACAGTATATGAACATATATAAATAAGATATGGGTTACATGTCTAAATATCCCGGACATAACATCCCGCGACAAAATATCCCGGTCTTATTATCCCAGCGACAGAACATCCCGCGACAATATATCCCGTGGCAAAATATCCCCTGGCAAAATATCCCATGACAAAATATCCCCTGGCAAAATATCTCACGACAAAATATCCCTAAGATGCAGGAATGTGAACATATGCACAGCAACTTATAGTTTAATTTATAATTAAATACATAAACATTAATATTTCGGGACTACCGCACCTCCCCCGAAAGCACGGGGGGGGGTGTGCGTGAACCTCGGTTCGCGTGGACAGTGTATGCGTGGAGGCAGTAGGTTCCGCCCCCCTGGGGGCTCCACTTTTTTCGGTAAAGCAGAGTATACAGCAGAGTATATAAACATGTAAATATCGTGTAAATACTCGAGTGACTTAGAGCAATCATAACGCATCACAACATTTGTAATATAACTTAAATAATTAAATGAATAAACAGTAATCATAGAAATACAAATTTATATCGCCTCACACTACAACGTTCTG